TTACAGGTAAGAACTTGCATTGTTAGTTTTGTGCTCTGTATGTTTTTTGTGACAGAAAATAATGCATACTTACTCACAGAATAGCTTGAGCGAATGCATTTTCCACAAAAAAAAAAAAAAGTCTTACTGGAAGGAATAGAAAGAAGAAAGCCTCTTATGATTGACTTAGATCTTCTCCTGAGAGGTGAAGGGACCTGGCTGCTAGAAGCTGGTTTTGCAGTGGTGCAGTTAATTTTTCATATCTGGTGCAGTCACTGCCTCATCCTGTCAGGTTTTGCTTACTGCACAAAATAGTGTTAGAAAATGAGATTTAAACACAACAACTTTAAAGTGTTTTCACTTAGTGTGGTATGTAGAAGAAAAAATCCTAGATTTTTAGTATCATTTTCTTGTCAGTGGTGTGACTATTCTATCATCAATATTTTATGATGCTCTATAATGGTGTAGAAGTATTACAGGAAATTTGAGACTTCACAAACTGCTGATCAGCCACTTCCCTGGAAACATTTACTGGATACATATGAAAAAATGACTGGTGACTTTTTTCCCCTGCTTAGCTATATAAAGAAAACCAAAGGTAGGAATAATAGGACTCATGGCAAGCCCTGTGTCGAATTTAGACTTGAGGAGCACGTGCCTAATGAGACAGCTTGGCTTCTTGAGCCTTTGCTCTTAAATAAGAGCAAAACCCTACATGTAAGGCATCCAATTACTACAGAAGACAGACTTGAACAAATACTGCTGCTGCTTCTGTGCTGAGAAGATTCCCTTTGTAATCTTCAATTGTGGGCCAGTGAAATTCTCACTATTCTTTGTAGGGATGGTGGAAAAGGCTTGGAAAGAGAATTTAAATGATTGCAGTGGAGTGAGTGACCTGTATCTCTTTGTGCTTTGCAGGAAGAAAAAAAGTTTACAAAGACTGTGCAAGGGAAGGTCCAGAGCAGTTACCATCACTCAATTCAGGAAATTGGAGAGCTGCTGAAAAAGAGACTTGATACCATTAAAAAACTAAAGATTTAAGAAAGGCATCTTTGACAAAGATTCCAGGAGAGTGACACCAGAGTCCCAGACGAGCAACATCCGATATGCCATCACTTTAATCCAGAACTTCCTCATAATGCATGAAGGACTTAAGATCTTAAAACAACTTTTTTTAGGTATTACAGATGTATTCAGCTGATTTGAATTACTGTACATAAACCAGAAGCAGGGACCCTCGTCAGGGTTTGACCACTTTTTATACATGTTCATAAGCATATTACAGCCGGAGAAAATTAACTTTCTTCCCTTTTGATCTCTAGAACCAACTGGAGATGGTCTTTAGAAGCAGCAATAGAAACCAGTGTAAAGCGTACATCTCAGAGGAGTTGTATTTTCATCACCATACAGTGTTTATAAGGTTTTTTTGTATGGTCCTTGCCTTAGAAATGCCGAAATTGTAGATGCCCGCGCTGAGCCGCCTCCACTGAAATGAGCCAGTTCTGGAGCTGCCTGTTTTATCCACAAGCCGCCCGGTCCCGCTGCCTTCCGTGTGCGGGTGCAGCGGGAGAGGTGACTTTGCACTGGAGAAACACCCTCCGCCTACAGCCTCCAGCAGCTCCCAGCCCTTCGGCTGTAGCGTCCCAGCTACACCCGGCCTGGTGGTGGTGCAGGTTCCTCCCAGGACTGACACGGAGAGAACCGCTGGAGGGAAGAGGTGGGTGGTGTCAGTTCCCGCACAGGTTGTTTTCCCGGTCGGAGAAGCAAGCCTCCGAAGAGCAAACTTGGCCCGTAAGTGTTAGAGAGAAGGATGGGAATCAATGTTTCAGCAAAAAAAGCCAGAGACCGTGTATATAACAGCTGCGGTGAAGTCTGACACTGCAGTCTCCGATTTCATGTCAGTTTAATGTAAAGCAGCAATCATCATGACTTTTAAAAAGTGTATTTAGATTATTGAAACTTTAAGACTTAAATATTTTAATAGAAATGAAATCCTATTGGCTTTGGTTTTTAAGTTGGCAGAGGTAACTTTTGCTTCCGCTGTGGTATGAGGCTGAGAATGCTTTTTGTAACTGTACGCTTGCTTTTTGCAGTTGATCTTTGATTATTCGAGTACTAGCTCATTAGGCGTTCTGTTAGAAAGTGCAGTTGCATCATTTGCTCCCACCGAGTCTGCATTTCTGCTGTCTTTTTTTTTTCTCTCTCGTTTTAAAGGAGTAATGCAGCCTGAAACTGGTGTAGGCATAAAAGCACGTGCTGCACCTCCTATGCGAGGGACAGGTCAGGCTTCTACAGATTCCTCATCTTCTGATTTAAAGCAGCTATTATCTGAAGTCTATATTTAAAGTTTTAAGAGAGCTGACAATCCTACCTTTGTCATCTCTTCTGAATATGTTTTGTTAGAAACGCTAGAATGTTGATGAGAGTATTTTTTTAAAATAAATCCCCTGTGTAAAATTTGACACTGCTGCTCTTGCTGGATTTAGTTTCCCTTTGCCCTGTCCTAAAGGGAAGGAAGGCTGCCTCCCTACTGTCTGAACCAAGAGGGATGTGCTGATGGTTTAGTTGCAATGTCTGGTAAGTGCTCTGGACTGGAGAAGTACCAAAATGTGTTAAGTTTGTTTTATAGTAACACTTTCCCTGAACAAACTGAGCTGTCTCATACGTTGTATAAAAATACCTTTTTTTGGAACGAAAGGTGTGCTACTTAAATTAAAGCAAGACTGATGACTCAAGTTGATCCTTTGGAGTACGTGGGGTAAGTGAGAACAGCCCCGGTGCTCCGGGTGCGCAGCTCGGAGGAAGCGCTGAGCCTCGCGCCGCACTGCCCGGTCACCAGAGGAGAGGACGGGCCGCCGGGACGGGCACTGGGCGCCGAGCGCTGCCCGCGCGTGGACGGGCCGGTCCCGGCACCAACGGACGTCGGAGTCTCCTCGTGCTGCTGCAACCATGGGTGGAACCGAACCAGTCCCACCAAGAGCAACGGTAACACGTAAGTGAAGTGAGTTTAACACAGCCAAGCTTTTAAAATCCTCCATGCGCCAGAAAGCAGAACTTTCTTTTTCTTTTTTTCTTTTTCTCTCTTTCTTTCCTTTTTTCTTTTTTTTTCCCCCTTTTTTTTTCTTCTTTTTTTTTCCCTTTTTTTTTCCTTTTTTACAAAAAGAAACATTTTCTGTCTTGGTTCCCTTAGAAGCAGAATTGAAACTTGGGGGTGGTTGTTTGTGCACGAGCTGGGCTCGTGGTCCCTTCCCACGGCTGTGTTTGGCCGGCTCCCTTCTGTACTAGTACAGCACAAAACTATTCCAGTCAGGAACGCCAGCCCATTCCCAGCTCCAGGGGTTAATGGGTGATGAGCATGTCAGGCATGAAGCTCTGGGATTTCTTGGTAAATGTTTTACCGAGTCAGGGACCATCTCTTTATGCTGTTTTCTTGGGGAGGAGGCACTGTGGGGTACAAAAGGGGCTGTGCACCCGCGCTTGGTCGAGGGGGAGCTCAGTGTGCACTGTTAAATATATCTTTCTTTTAAGAAGAGTGTGTTACACCCCAGGATACATCCTACAGGGCCTGGTAGGGGTGGATCTACATCCCCTTGCTGCTGTTCACCCTCTGCCCACGCTGCTTTTGATGATGAATTGAAAAAATAACATGGTTTAAAAAATACCCCCTAAATGCAGACACGGAAAACACGTTGGCTCCGCCGCCTCCTTCCTTGTCCTATGTCGCGATAAGTCGCGCTCAGGCCCCGCCCTTGGCCCCGCCCCTTTCCGGGGGCGGTGCCGCGCGTGGCCCCGCCCCCGCGCGCCCCGGCGG